CCCCTTCCCATCCTTTTCACAAAGCACACTATTTGTAAAACCACCTAGTTTGCAATCAGACTGTCTTTATACAAAATATATCAGTTTGCTTATAAAAATAGCCTTTGACCCTTTTAGATTTATTACAAGAATTGTTTTTATAAATCATACATTTCATTGTTAATTAATGAAGGACCACTGGCCAATGATACTTTAAGATATTTATTCCAAACTTCAGGATGGCTAAAAAAAATTTAAGACTAGTATTTTAACATTTGTAAATAAGAAAAGAAACAAGCTAAATTTACTCATTCTTTTCAAAAAAGGAAAGTATAACCAGTTTTGTTCAGCAAAGCATTCTGAATATACACAGAATGAGAAACATTTTTAAACATATCAACTGTATTTTAATAAAAGTTATTAAAATTAACATGTCTGAGCCTCTTGCTGGCAATACCCTCTTGCTGATAAGTGACAAGCATAGTGCAAAATATTCTTCTGGGACAGGATCCATGTGTGATCAAATATAGAGGAGTGGAAGCCCACAGGGACAAGGAAACATGGAGTTCTCTTCACCTGAAGCTCACACACCATGGAAATTATGTCCCATAGAAAGTGAGAATGGAGCTGGCACTTCATCAGGTATAAACAAAGCTTCAGCCACCTGTACGACTGGGGGAGAGCAGGAAGGACAGTACTGCGAGTTGAAGTGGGAGGTGTGGATGGTTTGTAGGAAGGGAAGATCAGGAGGGGGGAAGACCATGGTATGGGGGGTGTTGAGTTGGGAGGGGAAGACCAGGAGTTAGAATAGGGGTTAGTAAGTTGAGATGCAGAGACCATGAGGGGGAGCGGAGAGTGCGCAGGAGAGAAAGGAGGATGAAATGTAAAAGTAGGAGCCAACCTAAGCAGGGGATGGTGTGATGAGGGGAAGAAAAGGTGCTGATGATAGTGAATGAATCAGTACTCCGGAGGAGAGCAGGTGCAGGAGCGGGAATGGTGTAAAGCAGCAGTTCACCTGGGTGCTTTGAATGGGAGATTTGCTGGGAAGCTAGGAAGGCATTCACAATGGAAGTAATTGTAATTTCAACACTCCATATGCTGTGCAGATCCACCAAGTCTCCAGAAAAGAATATTGACTGGAACTGCTTAATACCACTATCCTCCTTTTCACATAGCTCTATCCATTTACCTCAAACACTTTTGAAAATGCTGTCTTTTGTAACTAATAATCCACATTTTCAAAAGTGCACAAGTCACACTAACTTTCAATGGGACTTAAGTACTTTCAAAAAATTGACCTAAAGAGCAGTGTATATAATTCTCAGATCCTAGTGACATAGAATTTGAGGAAATACAGCACAAATAGTCTCCATTTCCACCCACTCTTCTACATTAAAGGCTTGATCCAGTTCCCACTAAAGTCAATGAAAAGACTCTGATTAACTTCAGTAGTAGTTGGATCAGGCCCCAAGCAAGTATCCAACAATATTGAGACTATAATTAGTAACATGACAGTAGCACTACAGGAGACCAATATTAGGGAATGTTAATTCTCTGTAAGAGAACGAGAGGTGTTCTCTAATTGTTAAAGCAAAGAACTAGGAACAAAGAAATTCTGAGTTCTAACTATGGCTCTAAAACTACGTCCCTCTGCAGCCCTGGTTATGCCACTCTACCTCAGTTTTCCCATCGGTAAAACAACAGTAGTGTTATGAGTACTAATTAATTAATGTTTGTAAAGCATGTTTATAATGACTGTTTGACTGTTTAAAGAAGACCAAATTATGTTTTTGACCGACAATTCCTAATGAAGTTGATAAAAGCTAACAGAATAGATCAGAAAACATAACAGGGCTCACAAAATGTCTAAATAGAAAAATTATTTTGAAGCTTCTTCACACAAAACGTACTTGAGCTATTATTTTACACTTCTCTCTAACAAAGAATGGAGATATAGGAAAGAGAAAATGTTACACTGCAGATGGTCAAGTGCAGTCGTGTGTCCTTAGGCTTTGGGAGCTGGTGCGTATAAAGTACTTTTTTCCTCAGAGCTGAACGTAAACTACGTTATCTCGACAACAGATCCATGCTCAACTTGACAACTCTTTACCCAGAGTTTGGCACCCACTGAGGAACAGAACTAGCAATGTTCTAAGAAGAGCAGGTCAGAAAAGCAGGAAATTGTCCCATCAAAATTTATGTTAAAAAGGCAAACTTATCTTCCCATCTATCCTTCTAGCAGTAATTTCCACTATTACCACTCTGTAAACATGCAATACCACCCATGGACCAGATTTTGGCCAGCCCTTGCTTGCGTGCTCACACAGCACAGGCTGGACAAATTCTTGATGGAAATTTCAGAGCATCCATCATTCAGAGGTTCTTGGGAAAGGAAGCTACTTAAGCCTTCTCTCCAACCGAACAACTGTTCGGAGGTTGGCCAGAATCTGGTATCCATCTGGCACAGTACATCTACTCGGAAGGGTTGCACCAGTGTAGCAACCAACAGGAAAATCCCTAATGTAGACAAACACTGATTCACCTAGAATTGCACATATATTTTATCCTAGTGCTAGGGTAAATCTCAAACCACTTCACAAGCACTCATTTATTTAAACTTTGAACTTTCCTGTGAGGTAGGTTAGTGTATATATTTATTTTAGAGCTAGGTAACCGAGCTAGAGATGTTATATGACTCACTTAAGGTTAAACAGCAAGTCACTGGTAAAGCTAGGAGTCTTGTCCCCTAGCATTCTGCTATCACCACTAGACTACATTTCCTCTTCCATTACTAGAACATAATATAGCCTGCCCACTTCCGCTGAGTATAATAATAATTATATATCATTTGCAAGACTTCATCTTGGTAAGTTGAAGACAAATATAATTCTATCGGAGTAAAGTTAAAACCAAGCATATGTGGTTAGATGACATTAAAAAAGTGCTCTAAGACTTGCTGAGTTCTGAGAACTGAAACCACAGACAGCCAAAATGTGGCTCCACACAGTCAGATATGATGGGGCTGCTAATATTGAGCACTTTACTGTATGTAGGAACCTTGGCTTAAAAAAAAAAAAAACCAAGACGACAGAAAAAAATAATTTTGTTTAATCTATAATCACAAAAAAATAACAACCTAAGGCGTTAATGTGTGAAAAGTGGTGACGTATATCATCTAGATACACACTAGTCCATCTTTACACATCACAGGAATATATAATTGTCATGTTTATCATCATAGTTAAGTATATTTATTGCTAAGTATTTATAGTTCTCACTAGAGTGAAAACAGCTTAATTATTTTAATGACTTTAAAAACAATGAGGAGTCCGGTGGCACCTTAAAGACTGACAGATTTATCTGGGCATAAGCTTTCGTGGGTAAAAAAACCCACTTCTTCAGATGCATGGAGTGAAAATTGCAGATACAGTACAGGCATAAATATATATTGGCACATGAAGAGAAGGGAGTTACCTTACAAGTGGAAAACCAGTGTTGAAGGCCAATTCAGTCAGAGTGGCTGTGGTCCACTCCCAATAATTGATGACTGTTATTATTAATCATGTTTATTAAGGTAGTGCCTAAGGGCTAACAAGAACTGGGCCCCATTGTGCTAGGCTCTGCACAAACACAGAGCAGAAGATAGTCCCCGCCTTGAAGAGCTTTCATGCTAAATACATTTTCTGTCTTTGGAAAATCTCTCTCACTGTTAGAATAAGTGCTTGAATTTTGGCTCTGGTTTTTAAAATATTTTAGAGTAAAGAGCATAAGCACCAAACCACAAGTACAGTGAGTACATTTACCCCTAAATGTTTCTCTCTCTTAATTACCATGACATGGTTTATTTCCAATTTCTTGTCAACCACAATTTAAAGATTTGTCAGTATAAAGATTCAATGAGCTGAGAAGAAAGTATGAAGGAATTCTTTTCCTGCTATGCTGTTGTGATTAGAAAACTGTCATACTGACAGAAGCAATGGTACTACTTTTGTATCATTCTCAGTTCTTCTGCTACTTCACTAGACCAAATGATCAACTACAGCAGTGGATCACAACCTTTCGGAGTTTCAAAGACACCCCCCACACCACCTAGCCATTAAAAAAGGCGGGTGGGGGTGTCATGATCTTCTGAAACCTTTTCCCAACCTCCAAGGTTGAGAACCCATGAACTCCAGGAAAGAAGCAACCAGGCTCTTAAAAGTCTTAGTTGGTAATTTGTATATTGCAAACTCTTTGGGGCAAAGACTTTCGTCTTCCTCTGCATTTCGGAAGGGCCGAGGACCTGTCGGGCACTACCACACTATAAAGAAATAATGACAAATCCGCCTTTCACAATAATCCAAAGGCATTACCACGAACCCACGAGGAGATCGGGGAAGTCCTACCCCATTCCCGTCACACCTCGCTCACAGGGACATGAAAAAGCCCAGAAAGAGTAGCTGCCAATGTGGCCCCATTGACCCCGTTGCCTGAGCAGGGAGCTGACCTGACTAGTCCCTGTTGCACGGCGAGTGCCAAAGCGCAGGTACGTTCCTGACTCGGAACAACCGCTGAGTCTTGAAACAAACCGAGGCGAGGCAGGAGCGGGAGGCCCCTTCGCTGCTCCTTTACTCTCGGGCGCAGCGTCCCATCCCTGCTGGAGGATTTGGGGGGTCCCTGACTTTTCACGCGGCCGCGCTACCCGCGGGAGGCGCCGTCGCTCTGCCTCGCAGCACCGAGGCAGCCAGCCAGGACCAACGTGTGTGTCCATCCCGCTCCTTGCTTTCCCCCTTTCCTTTCGCTGCCTGCGAAGTGAAAGGAAAACACTGCCCGCAGCAGCAGCCTTCCCCCCGCTCCCCTCTTCGGCTGGCAGGAGGCGATGGGGCGGGGGACAGCCACACATTCGCCCTGGCAAATGAAAACCAAGTAAGGCAACAGCTGCATCGAAGCGCTGCAAAGCAGCAGCACCCGGGGGCTGCTGAGCCGGGGGCGGGAGGTTCCTGCCGAGCAACCGAAAGACGGGGACGGTGGGAGAAACTTACCGGAGGAAACCGAGGAGCCGGACAAACTGGAGTTACTGGACGCTGCCATCCTGCCTCCTTAGCTCCTAGCCCCGCTGCGACTCCGGCTTCGGCTCCTGCTGCTGGCCGGCTGCCGCCGCTGCCCCCAGCCCATTGCCAAGTGCGGGAGCCGCACGGTGCGAAGCAGCAGCAGCCGCCGCCGCCGGGGCTGCGCTTCCTGTTCAGCCAGCGAGCGAGCTGCGGCCGGTGGCTTGGCTGCGCGCCGCTCAGGCGTCGCAGGGCTCTGCTGCTGCGTGCAGCTGGCGGTCGCCGCTCGGCAGCGGGGCAGGGAAAAGGCCCCGCGGCGCTTCCAGTTGCCTCCTCTCCGCCTGGGGCGCGGGGGGTTCCCTTGTGGCCGTGCCCAGAGCCGCCTCCGCAAGCTCCGTCCTCCCGGCCCGCGCCTCCGCCTCCTGCCGGGCAGCGCTGACAGCCGGGCTCAGCCCCCCGCCCCCTCCTCCTCAGCCCCCCTCGCGCACACAAAGGAAGGAGCGCGGAGCCCGGCTGACAGCCCCTGGCTGAGGCAGGGTGGGTCTGAGGCGCGCAGCCCGAGGCGGGAAGGAAGCCCGGGGAAGCAGCCAGCGCCCGCTGCCGATACTCCTGCCGCTGCCTGGCACTGGGCGGCTCCTTCCTCCAGGTGCCAAACGCGGGCCACCTTCCGCCTGCCCGGGGGAGCCGGGACGCGCGTCCCCAGCCCTGCCCCGTGCAGGAGCGGGCAGGGTGGTGCCTGTTGAGTACTCACTGCTCCAGCCGGGAACATGGGCAGACCTCCGGGGCGGCGGCGATTAAGGATCGTCTTTGTTCCCGGGTGGCTCATGTAGCAGTTGTATCTGCTAAGCTCCTGCAGTGCACGTTGGCTTGGAGTCACCCCTTCCCCCGCGCGCCCATCCTGAGCTGCCATCACCTTGTCCGTCCGCTCCCCTTTTTTAACTAGGGCTAGGCACTACAATGCAGACACCCCGAATAACTTCAGTGAGATTCCAAATGGGGAGCAATTTTTTTCCTTTTTCTGTTTCTTGTCCTCTCTCTCCTCCTGTCTAGTGTTTGTCTTACCTTTCTTCAAGGTGCCTGACTTTCTTTTTCTCTTACAAAACTCTTCCTTCTCTGCCCCCTCTTTGTCTTTCATTGTTTTGTGTTCTCTGATCCCTTTCCTTTCCATCTGTACAGAACACAATACAGTGGGTACCATTACAATTTTAAGATTGATTGCCTGTGGCAGCTGCATTTACTATAATGTCACCCATCCTAAGCATAGGAAATGCCCCAGCTATCCTGGGATAGAACAGTGGTTCTCAACCATTTCCCCCAAACCCTTTTTCCAGACCTCTCACGTGTATTGGATTTTGCAGCATATTCCATATTCTGCTGGATCATGCTGCCTATTTTGCTGCACTAGGGAGGTGGGCAGTATTCTACTGCTGGAGCGAAAGAGACTTATTAGCCAAATACCCTAGAGCCTAAAGGAAAATCCATTGAGCTAGAAGGAAATCATGAGTTTAGATCTCATCTATTCTAGCTACTCTTTAAATTTCCATGCATTTCACAGTCCTTATTACTTACCAAGTCCTTGTAGTCATAGAATGGGTATGAGAAGGCCTCCTCCATTTTATAAACAGAGCTATTGTCTTTTCAGGCAAAGTTAGGACTAGAGTTCAAATCTCTTACATAACACAGGTCTTATCCTCCCATCCATACTGGCTTTCAGAATAAATGAGCCCAATATATATGCTTTCAAAATCCTCTCATCATTACATCACACTCCCCTCCCAGAGTCAGGGATAGGAACCAGAACTCCAATATCCTACAACTTTCTACTGAATAGTTGTGTGACTTCTGGCAAAATGTTTGTCAGCCTCCAACCATTTGTAGCTAGACCACATAACCAATAATAGTCATTCCGATAGTGGTAGTGGTCGAAGCTAGGGATCTGAAAATTCAGCTTTCAAACTCTACTGATGATCCATGTCAGGGAACTTTCTGGTTGCACATGATAGAATTTTTATTTCCAGTTCTCTCTTATTTTTAAATGGTTTATTTAATCCACACAGTGAGAAAACAAACTTTAAAGCAGGTTTTATTATTACAAACCATTATCTGTAAATTATGGTGTTATACATAAAATATAGGTGTTCCACATTTTGGATATTTGTCAAACATTTTGGCTGCTGGTGTCTCACAATGTAAGATTTAAAGTCCGGGAGTAAAATGAGAAGGGAAGAGGTTCTTGTGCACCCTTCACACCCGTTTTCAACCCTCTCATCATTACATCACACTCCCCTCCCAGAGTCAGGGATAGGAACCAGAACTCCAACATCCTACATAAACCCCCGGGGGATTATGACCCCAGTTTGAGAACTCATGGTATAGGAGTGGTAAATATCAAGATTATAATAGTGTTCACTGAAGGGGTGTGTAGTGCTTTGTAGTGGTATCTACTCCTCACATGTATTCTGGTGTCCTCCTCCCTTCACGCTTTGTCTTCTGATCCAGTGTCTGCTCCCCACCCTCACCCCACAAAAAAAAAAAACCCTGACAGAATCTGTAATACAAGGGAATGGGTGAGACACAGAGAGGTAGTCTTGCAAATTTACCATCCAGAAAGAAAGTAATAAAGTGAATTACACAAGAGTTCCCAACCTGTGGCAATTTGAATAGAGCTGGATGAACACTACAAACATTTTCCTCTGAATATTTGTTCACAATTATGAATTAATTTGCACTCTCTGTGTTCACATACGATTAGTATTTACTTTCTGTGAATATTCTAGTGATCAGGTTTACTTACAGGAATGTTAATGAAACTAATACATTGTAAGCAGATGTTGAGAAATATTAATGGAAAGTGAACTTTTTTTTTTATCTGTGAGTAATCACACTAGAAATCTTATTCTAAGATTCCAGTCAGGGAAGAGAGAGATACATGTGATCTGTGTTCAGTCAAGACAACCATTTTTGCCATTGCTTTGCTGACCAGAAGGCCTTTTCCAGACATTTGATTACCACTTTGATGACATTTGTTGTGCTTATGCATGTAGCAGGGGAGACCACAAGCAGGTTATCATCTCCTCCCTCACAATACCACTCCACACCATGACCTAGAACACCTCCTCACCACCAACTAAAATCAAGAAAACCTTTCTGGTGTCATCCCACAGCCCTCCTTGTGGAAGATAAGGATGTTCAGGGAAGATGATCTGAAGCCTGGGCGGCTGCTGACATACCAAACAAAAATCTAATTGATGATCCAAATGTGCAAGTGCCAGACTTCTCCTCCCCATGATGCATATGGACTAATCCGTATCCGCCCCCAACAGTAAGCTCACACTTACTCCATAGATTGAAGGTGAGGGAATCGCTGAACTCTGACTGTGGCGTGCGGCAAACTATTGGACACATTCCGGATGATTGCCAATTTATGCTCATCCTGGAGGTGTTGCAGCCATTCACCTGGGTACTCCCTCTGCTCTAGACTGGATAAGAGAACTTAAGATCCAACTGTTGTCATGTTGCTCCTTTCACTGTTCTACTTTTGCCATACCAAAAAAAAGTCAAGACAACTTGGATTTTGAATCTTCGTGATGAATTGCTCATCGATGAGCTATAGACCAGGCGTAATTAGGCAAATAATGAAAATAATGAATTAATTCAAGAAATTCATAATTTGTTCAGACACTTTGCAAAGAACACAATTTAAAATTGACAATGAATAAATTATTTGTCCAGGTTTAACTGTAAGTGAGGAAAGAGTTACAATTTTTAAGAGTGGGATTGTAAAGGTCTCATTGAGAGATACACAGCAAAGTCATTTCTTATAAGAGTGAAATACTTCAATAACTGTCTTCAAAATAACTCAAATGGGGGAGTTTCTCTCCAAAATCAATGAGACTTGACAGGTCTGGTTATGAAATAGTGTGATTTTGAAGGTTAAGAAATTGTTGAAATTTGTGATACAGGAGATGTGAGGCTACGTCATATCCATTCCAACAATGTTCAAAATTAAATTAATACAGTTCAAGGAAATGTCCAGTAGATTAAAAGAGCTATTTCACACTCCAAGACATGATAACCTCTTTATTCAATGGAAAAGCGTATGTAAGACTGTGACGTTTAGAAAATATTAGATCAAAGGAGACACAAACTTAAAAAAAAACAGAAGAGCAAAATGCACTCCATGTTCTACTGTACAGTTCCAAATGTTATTTTAAAGAGCTTGTAAGCAGATTACATCCTGCTCCACAGTATGCATACATTGCATATAGTCCAAACTTAACCATTCCTGAGTTTTGTTTTTATCAGGTATTCAGATAACTGCAATAAAACATAAACCTCAATCTAACCTTTCTTCTTGAGATTGACTATGCTTAAATTTTCCATGTATCTAAACTTCCTGTATCCTATTACTCTCTGCTCTTGATAAAAGTTCCCACTCCTATCCTGATTGGTGCTAAATGAAGCCACCTGCCAGTATGAGGGTACTAATTTACTCTGCATTGTTATAAAGAGTTTCAGCTTCTCAATTTAGGGTTACTCAGCAGTAAAACCTGTTACAGAGACACTATCATCAACATTAATAGTGACCTGCAATAGAAAAAGATCAACCTTTTTTGCTTATGTATTATGCATGAAGATGATCTGAAAGCTTATTTTCCACACAGGTGGGATTTCTTGAAGCATTCAATATTGGCCATACTCTGCTTTCATTGAAGTAAATGATTAAATTCCAAGAATTTCTGTACCTTTATTTAATTGAGAGAGACAAGATGGGTGAGTTAATATCTTTTATTGACCAATTTATGTTGGTGAAAGACAAGCTTTTGAGCTCCATAGCAAGCAACCGTAACTTATTGTTAACAAAGATTTTTATTGTTAATTGATTTTCTCTTTGCAAACAAAAGGGAAAAATAAAAGAGAGTCCCAAAGGTTTTTACTAAAATCTGTGTAGTACGATGTCTGCCAGGATTTATCAGAGATTATTTAAATAATACTACCCACAGGTGCAGGGGTTCAACCACATGAATTCAACTGCAGAATTATAAATAGATATTGTTTAGAAATTGTCAAAATGTTTTTTTCTGAAAAATACCTATTTGTCAAAACTGAAACTGTTAATAGGAAAGGGTGAGTTTCAGTAAGTTTTCCTACTCAAAAAACTTAGAAATTGTCAATGAATAGTTTCATTTTTTGGTTCAAAATTAATTAGTTTAGGACTATAACTTTATTAATACCAATAAAAGAAAAAAGGCCAAAATCAAAATGCTCTGTTTCAAAATTATCAAAACATTTCAATTGACCCATTTGTGTTTTGGTTTTGGTTTGTCAATTCACTAGAGTTTTTTGAGATCAACTTTTTATCCTGATTTTGTCCTTGTGGGTTGGGAAAACCATTTTCTGCCCAGTCCTAATTATAAACTCTTTGGGATAGGGGCTCTCTTTCATTTTAAGATACCAATCCTGCAGACCTCCATGACTTAGCCCCTATGTGTAGTCCCACTGACTTTAGTGGAACTCCACATGTAAATAAAATTATGCACCTATATATTTGCAGGATCTATTTTTGGAGATTACCCAGACAACAGGCCACAATACTGACTTCAGCTTCTGAAGTGCTACTGTCACACAAAGGAGAGGGGCAAGAATATATTTATTTTTCTCAACAGCCTACATTGTTTTCTTCCCTTTTTTACAATAAAGCTTATCACATATTTAATACTAACTAGCTCTTATTATAATT